GCAGGGGTCTCCAACCTTGGCAACTTTAAGACTTGTGGACTTTAACTCCCGGAGTTAAAGTTCACAAGTCTTAAAGTTGCCAAGGTTGGAGACCCCTGGTCTAGTGAGCCATTGGTGCTAAAGTATAAGTGAGCATTATAATGAGTACAAGTGCCTGGTCAGAGGTTACTTGAAAACAAACCAGGAATGTAAGGTGGCTTCTTCATTTAGATCAGCCACTCTTAAGGAAGAAACGTGGATTTTACATCCCCTCCTTTAAGAAGGACGAGCCCTTATGATTTTTGGGGAAGGTCTCTGTAGTGCAGGCTGCCCAGAGAAGGTTGGGCTGCACTCCTAGTGAGTCGGATCCAATCACTGCATCTGGTGAGCATAAGGGAGTTGCTTCATCACCCTTTCGTGTTCATGTGGCAACTGGCCCTTCCCTCAATTTGCTACTCTGGAATCCTGCCAAGTTTTCGATCTGGTAAGCTCTCAATTCCTCTAGGATGGAGACGTCTAGCAGTGGAACAGATGGTCCAGAATCCTCCATATGCCCCAATGAGTTCTACAGAATGCCTACAGCATCACACAAAAACAATAATAATAATAAACATCTGCCTAGCCCAGGTCCTTGGGAAGGACTCGGTAGGTGGACAAAAATGCCAAATCCAAACTAAACATCTGGCTGACTTGTACCACACTTGTACAACAAGCAAGGCGGCCACCAACGGCAAAGGGGATGGATCGGATTTTGACAGCAATGAATGACTCCTTGAGAGCCCTCAAAAGACCAAGGTGGGAACACGTAAAGCTGGAGAAAACCTACTCATGTCATTGCTAAGAGTCAACACCAGCTGAGGTGCACTTAACCCACCTCTTCAAACTTCCAGGGCAATCCAGACTCTTGCTGACTGCACAGACACAATCACATACTCTTCTCAACAACTGTTACCCAAGTGGTTTGCCCCTGCTCCCTTCTAGGGTGTGTTTTCAGCATTCTGGCTTCCCCTAACAACCTGGCATCTCCTAGTGGCCTCCCATCCAAGCATTGAGAGAAGAACAATACTGAAAATGACATAAGGCTTCTGCATCCCTGATGTCGCAAAGGCCAGTGGCTCTCGTAAATTCCTGGCTTTGAAAGGCTGACCGAATCAGGACCATTCCCCCCTCTCTTTCCTCAGAGACCCATTTTCAAAGGCCCTTGAATCTGGGTGCTGCTCAGAATCGGGTGCCGAGACCAGCACCAACAGCCCAGCATCGTGCTCTTTGAAGTCATTTTCATCAACATGTAATTTTCATCAAAATTAGTTGCCACCCGGCTTCTGAAGAGGCCTCTTTCCCCACATGTGGCTTTGTTTATTTCCACTTTGCTTAAAATTAGTTTGCAGTCATGGAACAGCAGTGAGTCAAGGGCCACCCCCGCCAGTGCGAACACCGAACACCGAGTCTATTTATTGCAACTGGGGGAAATCCTTTGTGCTCAGACCAAGCGCAAGTACCGTAGATCAAGAAACCTGATCTGCCCTTTGGGGTAATTCTTTCCAGGGGTGAAATTCACTTACCTTCCCTACTGGTTTGCAAATGTGCATGCACCGCTCGTGCACTCACTTTGCTCACGCACGCTGTTGTTTGTGCATGCAAAAAGCCTTCTACACATGTGCAGAGGCTTAAAATCATTGCAAAAAAGTGACCTCATGAGGTCCGTGCGGGTGGACGGAGCCTCCCACAGCCGCCGCTACCAGTTTGCCCGAGCCAGATAGAACCGGCTGAATTTCACCCCTGATTCTTTCCCTCCGGTATCCTCAGGAGCTTGGCCAGTTAAGCTTGGCCACAGAGTCTTCCTGCCATATTGACCACGGAGTCTTCCTTCCTAAGTCAGCCTTCCCCAAGTTGACCAGCGCTCCTGAGTTTGGCACTGCACAGCTTGGGATGGCTGGGGGGGAGGGGGGTTGATGGCTGTGTGGGACAAGTCAGCGCAAAGCTGCCTTTATCTGAATCAAATGAGGTTGAAGGGGAGGAGGGCATACTCAGAAGGGACTCTACCTATTGTGCTTTCTGGGTGATGTGGGGGTGGAGGCACTGCTCCTCTTCCCCGATTGCTGAACGTCTCTCCCCCCCCCCATCTTGAAAGCCAAACTGTGTCCTGCATAATGCCCCCGTCCATGATGTGGGACAGACACTGTCCCTGGTTACCTGGTGGGACTCCAGGACTCATTACACATGGTCACTCATGCCCTCATCACTTCCCCCCTGGACTACTGCAACGCTCTCTACATGGGGCTCCCTTTGAGGAGCACCCGGAGGCTCCAATTGGCACAGAGTGCGGCCGCGTGGATGGTTATGGGAGCAACATGGCGTTCCCATGTAACACCTCTCCGTGAGCTGCACTGGCTCCCGGTGGTCTTCCGTGTGCGCTTCAAGGTCTTGGTTACCACCTTTAGAGCGCTCCATGGCTTAGGACCTGGTTATCTACAGGACCACCTGCTGCCAACAGTAGCCTCCCACCAGCTGGTACGCTCTCATAGAGAGGGGTTCCTCCGGGTGCCGTCAGCCAAACAATGTCGACTGGCGGCCCCCAGAGGGAGAGCCTTCTCTGTGGGGGCACCTACTATCTGGAATGAGCTCCCCCCGGAGATACGGAGGATCCCGGATCTACGCACCTTCCGCCGCACTCTCAAGACCTTTTTATTCCATCAGGCTGGCCTGGCCTAACTGTTTCCCTTTTTCCCTTTTAAAACGCAAATTTTAATTTGTTTTTAATTTATTGGGGTGTTTTGAAATCTGTCTTCGGCCAAATTGTTTAATTCGGTTTTATTCTGTTTTTAAATTTTGTATTTATGTGTTTTTATCTTGTGGCTGTTCACTCCCCTGAGTTCTTCAGGAGTAGGGCAGTATACAAATCAAATAAACTAAACTAAACTAAACTAACTAAAAGGTGACTCTGCCTAGAAACTGGACACTTGCCAAAGAGCCACCCCATCAGTTTCATCTGGTGCGGCCCTCCAGAGCTCCGTTTTCACTGGCAGAGGGTTGCAGGAGGCCGTGGCAGCTGAAAACGGAGCTTGGGAGCCTGTTTGCACTGGCAGAAGTACCGCAGACCAGTTTTTCACTGTTTCCAGGATGGCCCCGTGGGCAAGATCTAAGTATCCCATGGGCTGTATCCGGCCCCCGGGCTTTGAGTTTGATACCCCTGCTGTAGTGTGTGACGTTCGCAAAGATGGGGAACTCCCCGCTACTGAGATGACTTCTGGGTGGATGTGGCTCCTGGCATCATCACAAAGTGCTTCGTCCTTCAGCCCTGGCATTTCCTAGTGGTCTCCTATCCTGGATCTGATCAGTTCCAAGGCGGGGCTGGGTTTGTGTCATCTCCCTTTTTCTGAGTGGCTGAAATTGGCTTACTGCTGCAGTAAGAGAGCACCGGGGAGGGGGCGATTTCAAGAGAGAAAAATGGTACAGTGGAAAATGCATGGCTCAGACGGAGATGGGGAATTTGAAGTTGAATCTGCAGGTATTAACCTAAATTAACCCCTGGTCTGTGAAAGTAGCCTCTGAGCTGGATGGCCATCATCTGCTGAGCCGTCAGTTGGCTAACCACCTTTAACCCAACATGCTCTACAAACCCCACTTTGGTATCAACCTCGCTATAAATTCAGATGAATGAAGCTGTGGATAATAACAGTGTCCTCCGAGACAGTTTCCAGAGCTAAAATGGGATTAAACACTGGAAGAAACGAATCTCTCGCTCTCTTTCCTAGTGATTTTCGCACACTTTGCAGGAAGTGTATCTCTCCCGCACGCTCCCCCCAGGCTCTGGAACATCTGGCTACCTTGTGCCGACAGGGAGAATTTGCGTGGGATATTTAACACAGACAGAATGTGATTGGTGCCCTTTTGATTGTCATTTTCTACAGAAATCATTTTATTTCCATCATATTCACAATACTTATTTATTTGGGGGCGGGGGGGAGAGGGAGGGAGGGAGGGAAGGAAGAGTTAGCAATTGTGTCTTCTTAGATGAAATTAAGCAATTGTGTCTTCTCAGATGAAATCTTTTCTTTTTCAACCCTTGTCCAGGACTCAGAACATTCTTGCCAAGCCTGAAAAATTATTTATATTGTACCATTCTGTTTAATTATTTATATTCCACAGAAGCAACATTTAATGTCAGTTTGAGGGGGGGGGGTGCGGAGGCAATCTCCAGTGCATACAAAAATAGACCTCCCCCCCTTTTTTTTTTATAAAAACGCGAATATTAAGAGATAAAACTATGCCACTCTTATTTTAACAGCCAGGTCAGACACACACCCCCCCCCCCCCCACTCTGTTCATGATTAAAACCTGACATTCCTCCCCCCCTTCTCCCCCAGGATTAATAAGGCAACCAATTTAACATGCAGTCACGGTCCACATATTTAAAAAGGCACCAAGAAGAGTTCAGAAAAAGTCACAGACCCGCCAGTTCTCTCTGCTTAGCGGGCTTGGAAAACGGGGCGCCTTCTCTCTCCCCCCCACTTTGCTATTAATTATGTTTTCAAGAACGCGCAGGAAAATATAGCCAAGAGGGAAATAATTTCTGCGGGGTGGGGGGGTGGGGAGGGATGAATTATTTAAAAAAAATAAGAATTTGCTCCCCCCTCCACCCGCAGAGGAATAAATATTGCCTGTTGTCTCGCCCAGCCCCCCCATTGCACTCTCTCTCTCTGTGTCTCTCTGTCCCGACACCGGTTTTCAAGTAAAAGCTTTCCGCAGCCGTCCCGATGAAGAAAGAGTTGCGCGGGCCGCTACTCCGTCTTTGCGCCGCCTCCGTCCTGCGGCTCCCGGCCTCTAAAGTGCACTCGGTCCTCCCTTCCGTCCCGCTGGCCCGTTGCCGGCAGCTCCCCCTCCGCATCCTCCGGAGAGGCGCCCCTTCCCCAGGAGGCGCATCCTAAGCGCTCCCGCGATCCCCGGGGCAGCTTCCGCGGTTACCTGCCGGAGGAGGGGAGCGCGGGTCCAGGCGCAGCATCCCGGTGCTCGAACCAGCTTCAGGGCGTCCGCGTCCGAGCGCCGCACGAAGGCAAACCGGCTGAGCCGGGGCCGGGCGTAGACTGGGGGGCCCCGACGGCTGCGGAGGCACTGGCCACCTTGCGCTCTTTTTGCCGCAGGTGGATCTTGGTGTGGCGCTTGCGCTCGTCGCTGCGGGCGAACTTCCTGCCGCAGAAGTCGCAGGCGAAGGGCTTCTCGCCGGTGTGGGTGCGAATGTGGGTGGTGAGGTGGTCGCTGCGGCTGAAGTTGCGCATGCAGATGCGGCACTGGAAGGGCTTGTGGCCCGTGTGGATGCGGATGTGCCGGGTCAGTTCGTCGGAGCGCGAGAAGCGCCGGTCGCAGCCTTCGGCCGGGCACGGGTAGGGCCTCTCGTGCACCGGCGTCTTGCTGGGCCTGTTGGGGTACTTGCGCGGCCTTAGGATCGGGCGCAGCGGTAGGCTGCCCGGCCCCCCGTAGGCGCCCGGCGCCAGGCGCGCACTGACCGCCGTCCCCGTGGAGGGCCCTTCGCTCAGGCCGCTCGGGGCCGCGCCCAGCGTGAAGTTGCGGATGGTGGAGAGCGGCGTGAGAGGCGGCGGGACGCGCACCGACTCCAGGGCGCAGGGAAAGGGTTTGCGCTCCGGCGGGCCGTGGAAGTCGCGCTGGCTGCACGGAGGGGGCGGTGGCGGTGGCGGTGGCGGCGGCTGGAAGAAGCCCGCGTACTCCGGGATCATGGAGAAGAGGCCGGCGGGGTCGGCTCCCACCGATCCTACGCTCTTGGGGGAGGGGTGGTAGGAAGGGGGCGGCGGGTAGGGGCCCGTCGAGGCGGGCAGGAAGGGCGAGGAGCCGTCGGACGGCGCCGGCTGCTGCGCCTGGCCTTGATAAAGCTCCCCGCAGGCGGAGTAAGGAGGCGGCGGCGGCTGCGGAGAGTAGAGATGCTCCAGATCCCCGGCGGCCAGCGCCATGGCGCATCCGTGCCCCGCGGGGGATCCTCCGGAGGCGGTGGATGATGGAACCGGCGCGGCCGAAGATGCAGTCGAAGGAGCGGCCACTCCCTGCAGGATGCCGGCGCTGACCAAGTTGAGGATGCCGTCGGCCGCATAGCAGCTCGCGCCGGGATACTGAGGATCGATGGAGAACTTGCCCATGTAAGTGAAGGATTGGCTGCGCGGAGGCGGCGGCGCGAAACCGCTGCAGGCGTATTGCAAGTCCAGCGCTCGTTTGTCGCTCATGTCCGCGCCGATCAGGCCATCTGGAGGGAGGGAGGGAAGAGAAAGAGCCCATCACCACCGCGCATCTGGAGCGCTCCTCGGGATACCCCACCCCACCCGCGCCCAGGCAGCCTTCGCTGCTGGGGCAACTTAGGATCGCTCTGCGCTTGAAGCCAGGCAGAGGGCGCGCCCGGGATTAGGTGCGCTGGCCCTCCAAGCAGAGGCCCTTTCATTGCGCCCGATCCTACAAGCTCTCAAGTTCTGACCGTTAGGGGCAAACAGAGAAGCCCGTGAAGTTTTGCGAGCCTTCTCTTGGCCACCCAGGCTGAGGCCAGGATGAAAAGCCGGGGTCGGTGATCAAAGAGATCATTGGGCGGCTCCCGGGACGCGATTACGACTAGTTCGAAAACTGCTCCTTTGTCCCACAGCTTCTTGGGCAGAAACGCGAAGCGCTCTCGCCGGTCTGGCCTTTGTGGGGTGGGAGTGGGTGGGGGAACCAGCGCGCCCCGGCTTTCGAAAGACTCCAGCGAAAGCGCCCACTTAACAGTAGTGGCCAAAATTGTGGAAATTTCCCTTTTGAGAAAAGTGTATTTTTGAGGTTTGATGGCTAATAACACCGCTATTTATTTATTTTTTTGGAGTTTCAAAGATAATCCTAGTCCACTGCTGCAATGGCCTCGGAATAGCCCAGGTACTACTCCAAAGAAAGAAAGAAAGAAAGAAAGAAAGAAAGAAAGAAAGAAAGAAAAAAGAAAGAAAGAAAGAAAGAAAGAAAAGAAAGAAAGAAAGAAAGAAAGAAAGAAAGAAAGAAAGAAAGAAAGAAAAGTGGTGTTATTACCTACTTTTAGAAAATAAACTTTTCCCAAAAGCTTTCCACAATTTTGGCCACTACTGTAAATCCGCCGCTCAGCCGGCTGCCCGCAGGTGGCCGCGGGAATCCTGCCGCCCCGTTCCACTTATGCTTTCTCTCGCCCCCACGCCCCGTGGGCAGCCCCCTCCTCATGTTCTTCCCCCCTTCCCCGTCCTGCCAAGCCCGAAAGGGGCCGCGGGAGAAGAAAAGGGACACTTACCGCTCAGCTGGTCAAAGGGTCCGCCCAGGTCCACGCTGGGGAAGCTGATGACCGACGGTGGGAGGGCGCCGGCTCCGTCTTCCGTGGGGTAAAGGCCTTCGGGCAGGTGCACCAGCCCGCTGAGGGTGACGGGGATTTTGTCGACCGCCTTGGCGGTCATCCTGGAGTGAAGCCCACCTACCCACCCACTCCTGGTGGTCCAGGGGCCGCTTATTCCTCCAGGGAAGTGGCGGGACCCTCTTTCCCCTCCAGAGTGGGGCTGAGAAGATGCTTCTCTAGGGCAAGGTGTGGGCGGGGGGCCCCCTCCTGGAAGCAGGTGGGGGGCCACATTGGCCAAGCGCCGCCGCCAAAGAGGGGCTTAGAGCGCTCCGCTCTCTCCTTTGCGCCGCTTTGGATCGCTTGCAAGCTTACCGGGCAACTGCCAAGTCGGCTCCAAGTATTTATGGGGCGGCGGTGAATGCCGCGACGTCACTGCCCATATAAGGACTGAGGAAGAGGGGAAGGGCGGGGGCTCGCCGTCACGTGGCCCTTTGATCACGCCGCGCCCGGGGGGGTGGGGAGGGGGTGGGCTGGAGCCCCACGCGGCAAGGAGAGGAAGAGTACCAGGTAGTAGTATAGTAGTAGTATAGTAGTAGTAGTGTAGTAGTAGGAGTAGTAGGAGTAGTAGTATGAGGAGGAGGAGGAGGAGGAGGAGGAGGAGGGTTGCCCGTGGCCGGTCCGGAGAGACGTCCAGGGGGCGAGTCCGGCCATGCCAGCCCCGCCAAAAAAGGCCAGCATCCGGCTCCACCCCGCGCTTGCCTTTGGGGGAGCCTTTCCGGGGAAAGTCGCGGGGGCGGCCGAGGCAGAGACGCGACACCCCAGTCCCGGGACCGGAGCCCCAGCGCCGCCGCTCCCTCGGCTCCTCTGCAAGGGCGCCCGGGCCAGGTGGGCGTTGAGCGGGGCTGGGGGCGGCCGCTTGGAGGGCCGGAGTCAGGAAAAAGGGGCCAGCCGGCCGTGCCAACCGCCTGCTGGACAGCTCCGGTTCGCCGGGGAGGCATCCTGCCGGCTGGGTGGCTTCCGCCGATGCTGCTCCCGGGCGCTGCCCCGTTTGGGGGGTGGGCGCTGCTTTGCCTCCGAGGATGCTGCTCTTCCTCCTCCTCCTCCTCCTCCTACTACTACTACTACTACTAGTACTACTTCTATACTACTACCTGGTACTACTACTGCTACTACTAGCCTGGTTGCCTGTTCCTTCTCCCAAAGGAGCGGCCGTCTTCGCATGCTCAGAGGCGCTCTCTCCCTTTGACACACGGGCGACGCACTTCCTCCCTCCGCCCTTCTCGGCAAGGCTGAGTTAGGCCGAGCTTTACACCGAGCTGCGAGAGAGTAGAAAAAACCCCCTTCCGTCTTAGAGTGGCTGCTGGGCCCGCGGAGTAGCGGCGGAGTGGGAAAACGGATCGCAGGGGAAAGGGCGGGCGGGCGATCGCCCTCTTGTCACCCGGGAGTCGCCGCGTTTTCTCCTCCGCCAGCTCCGATGCCGCTACTCCGGTCTCCGCGTTGCTGCGTCGGAGTGGGCGAGCGCTCGCCATTCTTGCTGACTCCCTGGCCTGTTGTCTCTTCTCTCTCTCTGTCTCTCCCTCCCCCTCACTTCTCCCTCCCTCCCCCTCTCCCTCTCTCTTCTCCCTCTCTTCTCCCTCTTCTCCCTCCTCCCTCTCTCTCCCCCTCTCTCCCCCTCTATTCTCCTCTCCCCCCCTCTCCTCTCTTCTCTCTCCCTCCTTCTCTCTCTCTCCCTCTCTTCTCCCTCCCTCCCTCCCTCTCTCTCTCCCCCTCTATTCTCCTTCTCCCCCCTCTTCTCTCTTCTCCCTCCCTCCTTCTCTCTCTCTCCCTCTCTCTCCCTCCCTCCCTCCTCTCTCTCTCCCCCTCTATCTCCTTCTCCCCCTCTCTTCCTCTTCTCTCCCTCCCTCCTTCTCTCTCTCTCCCTCTCTCCCCCTCTCTTCTCCCTCCCTCCCTCTCTCTCTCCCCCTCTATTCTCCTTCTCCTCCCTCTTCTTCTCTTCTCCCTCCCTCCTTCTCTCTCTCTCCCTCTCTCTCCTCCCTCTCTTCTCCCTCCCTCTCTCTCTCTCCCTCTCTTCTCCCTCCCCCCTCCCTCTCCCTCTCTTCTCCCTCCCTCCTTCTCTCTCCCTCCCTCTCTCTCTCTCCCCCCCTCTCTCCCTCCCTCTCTCTCTCCCCCTCTATTCTCCTTCTCCCCCCCTCCTCCCCCTCCTCTCTCCTTCCTCCTTCTCTCTCTCTCCCCTCTCTTCTCCCTCCCTCCCTCTCTCTCCCCCTCCCTCTCTTCTCCCTCCGTCCCCCCTCTCTCTCCCTCTCTCCCCCCTCCCTCTCTCTCCCACCGTCCCCCCCCTCTCTCCCTCTCTTCTCCCTCCCTCTCTTCTCCCCTTCCTCGGGAAGATTGAAAGGCCGCCTGGGGCGCTGCGAGGTAGCGCTGGCCCCGATCCGTCTCCCAGACTCTTGGGAAAAGCCCCGCGCGGCTGCCGCGACCCGGGTTGGTCCCCTTGTCTGAACTGCGCTCGGCGCAGAAAGGATGAGGTCCGTGGGTCCGGAGTCCTGCCGGCTTCTCTGGCCTTCCAGGGACTCCCTAGTGCTGCAAGGAAGAGGCCCCCTCTTGGCTCCGGTACCTCGTGGAGCTGCCTGCCTCCCTTCTGCTCTCCTCTCTGAGCTGCTCTCCTTGCCCAAACCCTATTCCCCAAGCCCGCCTGTTCCTGCGAAGAAGGCAGCGGCCCACGGAGCGCTCCCAGTCGCACCCCGGAGCCTTTGCCCATCAAGGGCTCAGATTTGGCTCCCTTGACCGGTGGGTCTCGACAGGGATCTGCTTCTTGTTCTTTCTTTGGTAGGATGACAAGGTCCAGGTAGCTGGAGATCTTTCCCCCCCCTCTCCCGCCCCCCCCCCGCAGGGGATCTTGTCCCCCCCCACATGCTTCTCTCCCGCTCACAGCTGCCCATCGAGTCAGGTGTGCTCTGGAAGTTATGTGCAGGCTTAGCATTAAAAAAAAAAACAAAAAAACCCAGACCGGCTTTTTTTATTTATTTATTTATTAGTTTGATTTATATGCCGCCCTTCTCCGGAGACTCAGGGCGGCTTACAATGCTTTTAAGCAATAGCTTCCACCTTTTGTATATACCTGCTTAGTAGAGCTTTTGGGCCCCCCTAAGCGGTGTTCTTTTTACAAAGTCAGTTTATTGCCCCCACAATCCGGGTCCTCATTTTACCTACCTCGAAAGGATGGAAGGCTGAGTCAACCTTGAGCCTGGTGAGAATTGAACTCCCACTAATTGCAAGGCAGCTGGCAGCTAAGTGCTACTTTAACAGTAGTTTAGTCCGCTGCACCACCAGGCTCTTTTCAGTCTGGGATTCTCCTCCTTTGATCTGGAGGTCTCAGCGTGGTCCCTTCCAAAAGCCAGGCGTGGATGGGGATGATGGGAACTTTAGTTTAACGTATCTGGAGGGGGCCCTTTGCCCTGCGGGGCTGAAGAAGCTCAAACGGTGCCAAGCAAAAGGATCGCCAGGCTTTGATTTTTTCCCCATTCGGTAACTAACAATGAAGAAACTCTTAAATCAGAAGTGGATACACGAATCCTTAGTTCAGACGCATCTCACTTGGAATAACCGCTCAGTTGCTCTTGCGGCATCGCTTCTGCTGCCTGTTTCAGTCTATATTTTATTATACTCCATGGGTGGGTGGGTGTAGGGTGTTTTTTTTCCCCCAATAACCCCTCTGCTGCTTTCCCTATCCGTTCCCTGCTAAATGGCAATAATGGGAATTAAACGTGGATTGACAAACTTTCATCTCTTCGAAGAATTCTATTTTGATTTCAAACTTTTTAATCCCCTCGCCCCCCTGTGGTCAAAGTAGGAACTGCAACTAAAAAATGTTCCACCCGATTTCTAAAGCCCAAAGGCGCAATTGTTCAAAAAATAAAACAAGAGGCCGGCGTTAAATATCACGACCGTGGTTGAGGTTTAAAGCTGTTTTTTTTTAAAAAAAAAACAGCTTTAATGTAATAGAATGTTTTTTAAAACAGCTTTAATGTAATAGAATGTGTTCAGCTGTGCTGTGTACACAACTGAACACATTCTACTACATTAGAATTCCTGCACACAATTACTCCGCGAATCTATCAAAATTTCCGCAAACTTTTTCAAACAAGCAAATATTACTCTTCCATGGTTTTTTATCGCTTTGATCAAGCTAGAATAAACTCCGTATTGGGATAATGCCTTATATTTCAAAGATAAATAGCAAAAGATTTTAAAGCAGTAGGAATAAACGAATTTAATATTAGCGTTCTGTAATTCGATCTTTTAAAATAGACCTTTTTTTTTGACGTATAAAAATATCAGTGCATTTTTTGTAAAAAAATGATTGGAATGCGTTTGAAATAGAAGGTTCAGTAAATAATACAACAGCTACTTTTATTTCTAATTTTTATATTTGTCTTCTAACCATCGATAAAATATTTCCCATATCGCAGAATAACCAGTTTGTAGATGAGAAAAATATAGAAAATTGTTAATAAGAGTTAAGCAAATTAATGAGAGGATGTAAAGTATTAGATATTTAATGTATTGGTATTAAGTTAAGAATAGATTAAATAATGAATATGATTGTAAATTTTAACTGTTATTGCACAAACATTGGTACCCAGATGACACACTGTTTAATGGAAGATGGATTATTTGTACTACCTTGTTTTCCCAAAAATAAGACCCTGTTTTATATTTTTTTGAACCCTGAAATAAGTGCTTGGCCTTATTGCCATGCGCTCAAAAGCCTGATTGGGCTTATCATCAGGAGATTTCTTATTTTGGGAAAAACAGGGTAAAATCAATTTTTTAAAAAATTATGAAATAAATAAATAAATAAATAAATAAATAAATAAATAAATAAATAAATAAAACATACAACAGCAACTCTCTAGTTCTCTCTTAAGGCAGCTTTCTTGTTAAAATCAGTGCTTATTTGATTGCCTGGTTCATATGGAAATAATGTTGAAATGATATAAACATCTTACCGAGCTGAATCTACTCACTATGGCAAGTGAGCCGGAAAACCTGATCTTTTTTCTCCCCACATGCAACCATGAAGTCTTGAAGAGTTCTGGGTGCAGAGCGAGGAGGGGCTTCCCTGTTCGATGCTGCAGTCTGGTCTGTGGCTGAGTGGCAGCCCT